TTCAAGAATTATGGATTCTTATGTACGAGGGCAAAACTACTCCATGCAAAATGTGGAACTTTGCCAGTAACGCTCAAAAAAGATGTACCTGAAGGTACTTCTATCAGTAAAAGTCCGTTTAAATTGCTTATTCTTTTGTAATTTTGCAATGCATAGACTTACTAGCGATTTAGCAAGGATTTTTTAGAAAAGCATTTTCCGAAAAATTTGCTGGAAACACTTTTTTCATTTTGTAAGATATATTGTTTTCGTTCATTTATTAGAAAAACACAATATTATCAGAAACACTGGTACTGTTGTTAAGCTTAAATAAGAGGATAAAAACTTGGATTTTGGCACAAATCCAACGGACTCTAACATGTCAGTAATTTTCCAGAGGAAGACAGAATACAAAAAGTAATACTCTTCCTAGAAACAAGGAGAAGTTTCATTTTATTATTCTGGCTTTTCATCTATGCAGATGGCAACTTTTCCAGTTTTTGACCAATGCTGATCGTAGTCGTGCTGGAAAAAACTGCAAAAACTAATACTTTTTCTAGTGAAAATCAGGTAAAATGAAAAACCTGTTGATAGGGATTTAGTTCTTTAGAGCTGATGGAATGTAGATTTCTTCCATCGAATGTTCTTTCACCTTGATATTTATTCGATTTGGTATAATCAATGCCGAAAATCAAATTTGAGTATTCCAAGCCGGCCTGGAAAGAGAACCATCTAAGCCTTGCATATTTTGCATTGAACTTTTCTGATTTGAGTGCAGCAGAGAAAACCAACCTTTTTGATGCCTCGGATGACATCTTCCAAAGTTTTATAATGGGGTATGTTATGTGCACTGCCAAGATTCATTGCCAGTAGTAAACTGTTGCGTCGTACCGGCACACTAGAATGATAAATATTGAAAATTGTAACTGTAATTGTGAGGAAATGAAAGGAAGGATGGAGGTAGTGGGGGGAGTGAAAACAACAGGGGCACGGTGAAATATGTACCGAAAAAGGAAAGGGAAGGAAAAAAAAAGAGAATAATGGAGCTCAGAAATGTTAATAAGAAATAAGTAGAGAGGCTTGTGTCACATGTTTGGGAAATTAGGGGTTAAAAAAATGCGCACAAAACAGATAATGGAGCAGCAAACATTCACGCTGTACAATAATGGCTCAATTGCAGCTACTGTAAAGGAGGTGCTTCTCCTTCTATCGATCGCACAGCTTACTGTATCGGTATATCGTATCGTCGGATAAATGATTTCGCGTGGTGCAGTTTTTTACAGATTGGCAGATCCGGGAAGGGAGGGCGGGGTGGAGGTGAGGGATCTTTCGGCTCCCTCCCCCCTCCCCCCGCCTTCGCCCCCTCCCTGGGACTCAGGTAGTGGCTGTTTTACTGTAGAAAACTCTGTCCGATATTCCGTGTCGTCTTCCCAGGGGGTGTAGCGGGACAACTGAGGGAGTAACAGGGTGGCTCAGACGGATGGGAAAGTTGGGGCTTTCGATGTAGTGACGGACAGGGAGAGGAAAAAAATTCTCCCCTTCCCCCCCCCCCCCCCCCCCCCCCCCCCC